CAAGTAGATAAATAGGTACCACTTCGGTGGGAAGGTAACAGCGTTCCGTGCGCCTTGGTGTTTAGTCATGCCGGCCACATGACCACGGAAACGTCTTTGGACAGCGCTGGCTCTTCGGCTTTGAAACGGAGATGAGCACCGCAACCCTAGAGTCGGATTCGACTGGCTTTCGAGCAAGGGAAACCTTTACCTTTTTTACAGGCATACTGATATCTCATAACCAGCCATGCCTTCTTCCATGACCACTGGTAAAAAAACAGATCATATAGGCTTAATGAAACATGGCTGTGAACTTTGTGAATTTTGACAGCTCCTAACACAACTGTGTCCACATGCAGCATCAATATTATAATTCTCAAATTTTTATTTAAGTTGTGAATTTCTCTCTTTATTTCAGTGAAAGAGTTGTTAATGAATAAATACTCATATTTTCAGTTCAAGGTATATTTAAAAAATCAATATAAACCAAATTCCCATAATCAGAAATATCTGTCCTCAAAGATTTTAACACGTCTTTTATCTAGAATTACTTTTCTTATCTTAAATTTAGAAAAGAAGAATCCTAGACGTTTCATATAAACAAGCAACTCTGCCACATAACATTTATGTACCATGTATAATTACAGCTAAGCTTCTGTGTGTGATTTCAATTAATTGTATTTAATGCACTTACATAAAATACTACACATGCAGGCAAGCGCAAACCCTTTCTTTGCATTACAGTAAATTCCACAACAACTTCAGCTTTCCCTGACTAAAGAAAAATTCACATTTATGTGAATAGCTATAGAATTCCGAGAAGGAATTTAGTGGGACAATAGTAGGTTATTTTTTTATTAAATGAAAGCACTCATATTTATGTTAATACTGAGATATTAATACCTTAGAAAAATATTCTATATAGATCCTTAAAAGGTAACATTATCTCCCTTATAAATAAAAGCCGAATGGTGATGGCACTTCTCTAGAACATTCCACACGCTCCAAAATCAGTTCGCTCTCTGATCTGTCATTCAGAGGGTCTCCCTATCCACTGGCTGCTTTGCTTGAGTCCTGCCTCCAACATTCTAAACATTTTGCTAATCCTCTCCCCCCCCATAGCCAGTCAGAACACAGAGGTTATTTGCATATGCAGCCTCATTGGCCTCTGCCTCAGAACACAGAGGTCGTTTGCATATGCGACTTGATTGGCTTTTGCCTCTAACATTCTAAACAGTTTTGCTGTTCTGAGGTAAAATCTGTCCAATCTCCAGGTGAGGGCTGGAGATCACTCAGAATTCCAACTGCTTTCCAGATGGCAGAGATCAGTTCCCCTGGAGAAAATGGTGGGCTCTGTATCCTTATATGCCGCTGAGATGGCCCCCATATGACAGCCAATGTGAAGTAGCAGTCAGGGCTTCAGAGCACGGGAGAGGTTGCAGGTGTGTGGGGGGTGGAAAGCTGAAGAGTGAGGGGGAAATAAAGGTAGGTTGATGATTGGCTGGGAAGATAGAGTTGCCAACTCCAGGTGGGAAATTCCTGGAGATGTGAGGAATGGAGCCTGGAGAGGGTGAGGTTTCAGGAGGCGTGGGACCTTGGACAGATACAAAGCCATAGACTCCACCCTCCAAACCAACTATTCCCTTCTTGGGAACCATCATTGCCAATCTCCAGGTGAGGGCTGGAGATCACTCAAAATTACAACTGTTCTTTAGGTAGCAGAGATCAGTTCCTCTGGAGAAAATGGTGGACTTAGTGTCATTATACCCTGCTGAGGTCACCACAGCAAATTGACACTGAGTGTCCAAGGCCGGGGTACCCGCCCAGAGCCTCTTTCTAGAGGCTGTTGTATTTATTTCCACAACGAGCCTCTTTCCTAGTATTGCTTCTTCTAGCTCTTCCTACCCAGTCTACAAGAACCAACAAGCCACTTATGCACACAACCCACCTTTTAGCAGTTTCTGTATGGAATTATCAAGCATTAGAATAGGGACTGACAATGGACACTATACTGTCACATTCATTTGCCACTGACAGATAAAACACTATCCCTTTGAATATTTAATCTTCTAAAGTAATGAACTGACTCTCTATGGTAAAATCTCAGTTTTCTTCAAAATGCAAGACAATGAAAGGGTTAGCGCAGCAACTTAGAAAGCCACCCTGCCGTCTTACATTTGAAAGCTATAAAGACATACCACTGGAGCCTAGATATCCCTCAGAGGAAACCGACCAGCACCTATAGAGGTCTGGATGTTCTGTACAGAGGCCCAGAAAATAAGGTAGAACACTGTCAGAAGGTAACTTGTTTCATCATGTTGCTTGAACTCAGTATGAAGGGAAGGGGAAGACTGAAATGGGTTAAAGGTTGTATCATCAATTCACAGTTATGGAAGTCATAGAAATGGGTGAAGAAGAGACAATACACCACCAATCTATGTTTTCAAAGCACGCCGTACCACCCCCAGTATCTCAGGAAGTAAAATTCAGGCTTCAGAGTAACACATATAACATGCAGTAAATTGTGAAAGATGTGAGGAAACATTAAATGGGTCAGTGAAATCTGTATTAACACTATAGATTAAGGAGTATTAAACAATTGAAAATTAAATCACCCATGTGCTCATCTGGGTACTGAAAATATTAAAGCAATTTTCCTAATTATATAAATATTTAATATTTTTCTGCTCAAATTCAACTTTTGATTATTTATCATCACTAAACTTGGCATTATCTCTCTTTGATAATAATTTCAGAGTAAATGCCCATATTTCTCATTCTCAGGACTACTAATGTAATCCTTTTAAACATCATAACTATGGCCCAAGCTAGTCCATTCTGGTCAGATCTTGGAAGACAAGAAGGGTTGGCCCAGGTTAGTACTTGGATGGGGGACCACAAGGGAGCCCAGGGTTGCTAAGCAGAGGCAGGCAATCACCTTTGTTCATCTCTCTTGTTTTGCAAACTCTATGGGTTGCCACAGGTCAGTTGCAACTTGATGGCACTTTCCAACATCAGTGCAATCCTTTTAAATATCATAACTATGAATTAATGCAGTGATATTTATAACTATTTTTCACAACTGAAGCAAACCTGTATATCTACTGTGATGATCTACTTTCTTGCAGCAGATGTATTGGAGGACACAGAAATAGATCTTTAGTTACAGTAAGACATCATATTATCTTACTACTATTAGTGAATATCATAAATTTACTGAATTATTGAATAATCACCAACAATAGTCAGTTTAGCTTCTATAATGGTAGAACTAGTTCAATGACAAAACTTATACAGCACCTTTTATATACGAGAGAAGAAAGATACTTCTCAAATTCTGATCTCAGCAGCAGAATAAGGTAGTTCGTGCTTGGCCATAGACTTCAAGTGGAAAATACATTGGAAGATAACTCTGATTAACCGCAGAGTTAAAATACTGGTATAAAGCTAATTTATTTAGAATAACTGGAACACTGAACAAACTGTATAAAATAATTATTATTCTGTTGTTATTATAATAATAATAAAGGTATTTAAATGATGTCCCATGGACTATGTGGTAACTGACTGAAAGAGAAGCAAGATTTTCAGTTAAATTTTACGTCTAGTAATGCTTCAAGAAAGATGGTAACAAATTCTGGTTGTCATTTATAATGAATTCATAAGTTCAGAAATGATAGGCTTGTTCACAGCACTTAGCTATGAAAAAGGAATCTTCATGTCCAGAGACAAAACCCATCTGAGCTCTGGATTCAGGGGCAAAACAACAGGGGCCTCTGGAGATGCACTGGCCACTTCTGGAAACAAAATGCTGGAATATATAGAACTTGGGTCTGATTTAGCAGCACAGTTCTTATACTGAATTCTAAAGGTCCACGACAAAGGTATCCACTACAGCACAAAGGGAAAAAAATATTAAGCTACGGAGAAAGAACTAAGAGTCGTTTAAGGTCAGAAAAGGTTTAAATACACACTAGATAAGTCTTATTGGCTGAGTTTTTAGGAAGAATTAATTTAATTTTAGCCGCCCCCCATTGGATGAGTGAATTTAAAAAAAATTAGATTAACAAATTAAAAGGGGAAAAGGGATTTAAACTATCCATATCTCTAATAATCAAATATTGGAGTATGTGATTGGCTGTAATTAGGAAGGATGGTGGTGAATAATACTGTACATCCTGTGGTTTGAGAGGGATGAAGTAAGGGAGCATTGTTTGTTTGTTTTTAAAATAAAAGCAAAACATACCATTGGTTGGATGTCGAGCAAATGAGATAGAAAACCTTTTAACAGCAGAACCACGTGTGGTGTCTGAGAAAGAGAAAAACAGGTACCTGAAATTCAAAACAGCTACCAAAAGAGGGACATTTCAAGAAAGGACAGAAGAGAAAAAATAAAGAGGTGGTTAGAATTAAGTGACACACAGAAGGAACTGGGAGGAGGGCATAGGCCAAACAGGTTTAAAAGTAGATAAATTTTGCTTTTTGATACTATTAGATGTTTAATGGAGTGTATGGAAGAAAAAACATGGTTGAGCTTATGATCTGATATACAAAGTTACACATGGTTAGTTTAATACCATGAAAGAGACATAATGAGAAAAATTACATTTTTTATCCTCAAGAGTGTTAACAAGCATAGTATATTAGTATGTCCAAAACAATGGAAATACTGTACTGACATCTCTACTCTGGTAATTAACCTAGCATATTAAAACTAAGAAAAAAATCTATTTCTCTATATAGTTCTTTACTAATATGAACTAATATGATTTTCCTAAAAACATGCAAGAAATGGCTATGAAATTATATAGGCTTAAACTGTAAATTGTATCTTTTCTAAAATGGCAGAATTTAGTATATTTTGGCCCTCTTAACCCTTATATTTAGTAGATGATGTGTGTTGTTAGATGGGAGGAACAAAAATATCTGTGCCATTAATTCAATCAAGCTCTGAGAAAGAAAAAATAAAACTCTTTATAATTAATACTAGAGAATAGTATTCTAGGATTCTATTTAACCAACAGGCCTAGGGTTTTGCCTCCAAAGTTCTGATGTGCACATATAAGTGGGTGTGTGTACGTGCATGTGCGGAAGTGTGCACATACCATCTATGCAGCCAGAAGAAGTCACCTTTATACGATGGATACGAGCATAATCCTGTAGGTTAGGTGCACTTGAAGAACCCCCGAGCACAGTGGTACTAAACAGGCCCGCACAGTGAGACCCTGATAGGAGTTAGAGAAAATACATACAGCAACCAGGTGTTCTTCCATTCATATTGGGGATGCGTGCAGCATGCAAGCATATAGTTCTTACAACACAAAAGGCAGTTTCTGGCAGTGCCTTGCATATGTTCACAATATGCTTATAATGTCATACTGGCATTTGTAGGATGTAACTACAATAATTTATTGCACTATAAATCACAGTTTCCTTTACTAATTACATATCGAGAGAAAGTCAGACTGTAATGAAGAGACTTCATGTCATTTCCTGTTGCCAGACTTAGTAAAGAAAAAAAATGGTACATTGGAGAAATGTAAAATAAAAAGGGTTGAGGAAGGGAGAAAGATAATGTTAAAGATTTCAGAACTTGCAGTTGGATATATTAAAATGAATATGGAATTCTGCAAATAGTAGCAGGCACAATCCATGGGCAACTTCTCCAGTGCAAACCCACTGAAATTCTGAAGAAGAGACACAGATTTCTTGCATGGATTCTGCTTGAAACTTCTGCATTTTCCATGAAATCTGCCCAGTACTTATTTTTATTCATACTAAACATTCATTGATTTCACTTTACTAGAGAATTAACAAGTTCAGAGACAGCCAGCATGGCATAATGATTACAGTACAGGATTAGGACCTGGATACACAGGTTTGAGTCCCCATTTTGCTCTGGAACCCTGCTGGGTGACCTTGGGCCAGTCATATACTCCCAACCTAATCTAACAGGGGTGTTGTGGGGATAAAATGGGGGAGAAGAGAATGATGTAAGTGGCTTTGTGTCCTCACTGGGGAGAAAGGCACGGTTTAAATGTAGTAAATAAATAAGTTGGCTATTTTCTGGTTAGCAAAATTATAACTAATGTTATTTTTAAAAATGTTCCAATTATTTGAAAGTGAAATTTACCTTAAAGTTACAGAGACATTAAGCAACCCAAGGATTTACCTTTTTTAATAGAATCATTTATCTAGTTTTGGGAATTAAGATTTTTTTATATATACGTAATATTATGGTAAAGTTATAGTTTATCGTTAGAAGTCTGAGAAACAGGCTACCTTAAGTACAACTTCTTTTATGCAATGCAATGGTGACATAAAGTTCATATTAATAGTGCTTGTACAAAGAGAGATAACTACTATGCTTGCCTTTTGAGCTATTACCCTTTGATCTCTATTCACTTTCCAATAGTGATTCAAAATTTCTGTCATTGCCACTAATGACTCAATGGTATAAAAACATTACTAGCACAATGTGATGAACCACAGCCAATACAAATGTATGCCTGATATGTGGCAAAAGCTTTGGAATCAAAGTAATGCCTTCAACTTATGCACACAATTAGATTAATTTTCATCAACCATGATGTGACATATCACAGAAAACATGATTGTGTAAGAACTGAAGAATATTAGAAAAAAATTAAACTTCAGTAATCAAGAGCACCTGATGCATGGATTTTGCTAGAAAAAATTATACATGAAAATATTAAATAAAGACTATTTCTAGTAAAGGAATAAAGAATTAGATCAATATAGAAACCTCTAATGCACACAGCACTGAATATAGTGTATCTGTTTTGTTCAATATGCATAAAAGAGTTACCCAGAATGAGACTGTATGCATTTAAGGGCACAAAATACTGGTAGCTACATTATTGAATGCAACATTGCACATTAATATAAAATATTATCAATTCTACAGTTCTAACTGAGAATCAAATGTGATGTGTGCTATAATGAAACAGATACAATGGCCAAGCCTGTACACCGAAAGCTGTAGTAGATGGAATTTGAGGTAGTGCAAAGAATTTTATTTTGCTTTAAAACTGAAGCTCTCATAAGAGATCTATTACTAAGAAAAGTAAATGTTTGGATTCCCAGAAGTATTTTTTCAAGTGTTTCTACTTCACAGAAAAGCAACCCCCACAATAAAGATAAAGTATCCTAAAATGATCAAGCAAACATAGCTTTGGTCCAAACAAAGAATTCATTAGCAATTGACACCCTGCCTTTAACAATCCAATATCTACTTTGTGTAAACATTTTGGTGATGCATTGTCCAATCATTGCAGTCTTTAAAAAAGATATATATGCTTGTTGGCAGAACATCAAGTACCAGGTAGATTTAGTTTAATGGAACAAAATTTCAGAAAGCATATACATACCTATGCCACTTGTCTTTTGCTCCACAATTGTTCTTGATGTTCGATAGTGACTGTTGCTTTCTGGTGGGACCTGGACATAGGAAACAGATAAATAAGGACAAAAAAAAAGACCGGTGGGCTTGAAGAATCCATGAAGCTTGAAACAGCAGCCTGTTCAAGACAGACAGGTATTAATAAGCCATATGATGTGTTAGTAGAAATACAAAAATAATATGGAGGATCATGCAATACTGCTGAAATGACTTCACTTCACTCATGAGGTCCTCACAATGAGGGGGTACAAAGCAGGCATTCATGACCAAAACAGGACAGACAACAAGAAATATATGAAAACACAGATAACTGTGTCATTTTAGTTTACCAAATGAACACTCCTAAACTGCGCCTGTATTGGAAGGGAGGGGAAAAAAAAGGAAACACAGACAGACTGATGAGGTCACTATACAGTCTCTGATCCATGCAAAGGCTCTATCAGGGATAATGTCTGATGTTAACAGTTTTTAATGTAAAACACTTTTTTTCTTTCTAAGCTCTTTATAGCTCCAGGAGGAAATGGAAATAATTTGGAAAAAGAAGTTCTTGGGGAAAGGGTCATTTTAAACAGAACACCATCCACTGTTTAATATAAATAATATAAGCATATTAATTTTATATTTTCATGATTATTTTATTGTGCATATGCTAATTTACCAATTCTTCATTACTCAAATACTTCTGAATATCATACATTACAATGGATGAAGTACTGTCTTTGAAAAAGAAGGGGGACAGAGAAGGATACCCGCCATTACAGGAATTGAGAAAATAATTATTAGTACTACGGTTTTCCCTAACATACAGTTAATAGCAGGCCACTGAAAATATGATGTATGCTAATCCAACTGGCCAACAGCAAAATCAATCTCCCAACAAATTACTTCAATTGTGGCATTCTGTGTTATTTTAATGCACCTACCACCAATTTATGCAATGCTGTTTTTGGTCTTTAGGGGGGAAAAAGTCTTAAAGGACAACTAAGCCAAAGCTGATGTCCATTTTATTTGGGAACTAACTACATTACAGTGCTGAAAAGAAACCAATTCAAAGTTCTATTGTCTAATGCGCTTAGTGAAATAGTGTGTAAAAAACAACATGCACTTGCTTTTTTCCCCCCCAAACATTCTCGGAAGCAACCAATATTTTTAAAAATCACATTTTACTGACTGGTGAAATAATTTACTTCAAATAAAATCCAGAACAAGGGATTAGATGTCCTTAAAGACAGTTTGTTCTTGCTCAGAATGCATAGCAATGTTTAATGAAGTAAAGTTTAAAAACCTGTTGCCATGAGCCAAAAATACTGGATGTGAAAGCCAGTGATTTAGGGGAGACAGGGGAAGAAGTGATTTGTTCCCCTGATCTGCGTCTTCGACGCCCAGTACCCACACCACTGGTGTAATGCAGCCAGGTACCAATACACTCTGGGCTAGACACACTCAGGGGGCTCTCTTCCTGGAAGTGAGAAAGGGGGCAAAAAAAACAGCAAAGCATGCAACGTTAGATTCATAGCCAAATGATAAGAAAATAAAATACAGTTTTGTTTGCACCCTTTTCCAAATACCTCCACCATTATACAGTAATGTTTCCCATTAATTGTCACATGGCACAAGAAACAGCAACTATTAAGCCACAGTTTTCACCAAAAATAAGTAACACTAATGGCAAGTTAATGGCATGACTTTGAAAACCACTCAAGGGATATTATGTACATATGAATAGGCTTTATGTCTACCCTCTACTTAATCATCATTGTTCTCTTCTAACACTTTATTCTTTAAAGGAGTAAACCAAAATCAGCTGTAGGCTAGACAAACAATAGTGCCATAATCCACCTATGAGTCTCAACTAACCATATGTAAATCACTGCACTGCCTTAAAGCACTGATGGCTACCTGGTATCAAGATGGAAAAGATGTTAAAGAACAAGACTGGGTGGAAAACAGGCTTAGATTTTGATGTTAATTTATTTTTGTTCACTTGCAGTCCAAAAAAAAGCAAGTCAATTTCATATTGATTTAATCCGTGAATTAAAATTAGCTTCACTTTTAAAATGGTATTTTATAAAAGAAGAAACAAAACTATCAGTGACCCTGTCAAAATGTCTTTGAAAAGAATAAAAAAGGGTTAAAATTAAGCTCTGTTTTCCAGATCTTCCCATTTTCTAATTTTAGACTCGACAGTTTAGTATAATAAGGAGGAACTTTTGGACTTTCTGTGAATGATCCTTCTCAGCACTAGTGAGGAAGGTGCCCTGCAGAATGGGTTGACTGTCCTTGTTCTGATCAGCTAAGACTGAACCCATTAGTGCCCAATATCCCCTGCTGTGGGAAGAAGCCTTAGAGAGCACTGCGGTCGGGGTCACAGGACCGATTGACCCTCCCGGGCCCCATGGATGCCAGGCTCTCTACGACCAGGGCCAGGGCCTTTTCAGTGGCGGCTCCTTACTGGTGGAACGAGCTCCCGGAAGAGATCAGGGCCCTGTGGGATCTTCTACAGTTCCGCAGGGCCTGCAAGATGGAGCTCTTCCACCAGGCCTTCAACTAAGGAGCCGCCCCTCACTATTACCATCAACGAGCCCGGCCCTCAGCCTTAACATCTGGCTTATTCCATCAAGCGACTCAGAAAGTTAAAAACAACCTAGTACGCCATCACAAGTAATGAACTGAACGATCACTAGCACCTTTGATTTTATTATTCTCATTTGTACATTGTTTTAAAATGATTTTATATGGTTTTATTGGTATTTGTGCCAATGTTGTAAACCGCCCTGAGCCCACTCACGGGGATATAAATTGAATAAATAAATAAATTAGTTTATGGATAAAAGGGGGAAAACCTGTAATGTGTCAGTCTCAACAGTGCATGAAGAGAAAAGATCAGAAGGAGAAAAGCAGCTAGTTGTTGAGCCCAACATAAACTTGATGAAATGAGACAAGCAAAGCACTGATCTCTGTTGTGCAGTGAAACACTTTGGGTGGATCAGAATACCTTCCAACCAAAGATAAGAAAGGCCATTCATGAACTCAACTTTCTTTTTCCACTGTTGATGGAAGGTATCCTGCAAAATGGGACATTCAAGCAATGAGTATATGCATCAATTTGTTGTTACATGAAAGAGGAGATGGATGGCCAGATGGATGCCTTACAAATCTTTCTGAGCAGAGCCCTACAACAGAGGGCTTTGGAAGTTACAGTATCTCTCCTGGAATGGCAGTCATCCCAGACAAAGGCTTTCAGTACTGTGTCTCATGAAGAAGAAGAGAAGAAGAGATTGGATTTATACCCCGCCCTTCACTTGGAGTCTCAGAGCGGCTTACAAACTCCTTTCCCTCCCCCCCCCCACAACAGACACCCTGTGAGGTGGGTGGGGCTGAGAGAACTCTGACAAAAACTGCTCTTTTTCAAGGACAGCTGTGCCAGAGCTTGTGACTGACCCAAGGTCACATCAGCAGGTGCAAGTGGAGGAGTGGGGAATCAAACCCAGTTCTCCCAGATTAGAGTCCACGCACTTAACCACTACACCAAACTGAACCAGAAATAGGCAGGCCTGGATCCAAATTTCCTGCCCAAACAGGCAAGATGGAATGAAACAAACCAGGAATCTGAACATCTTAGCCATCCAACTGAGATATTCATGCTCCCCCATCTGATGTTATTTAGAACATCCTGTTGACAGAATGTCTTTTGGAAAGAAGGAAAATATTAACCAGACTTTAAGAGTAGCTGAATTTGTGCAGCACCCAGGTGCAAGGCAAATCCAGGTCAGATCTGGATATAGAAAGAGGCCTTGAAATAATAGGCTGCTCATTACTAATATTATCCGGAGAGACTGATCTTCTGAACCACCCTAGACAAAAGTGGAAAGGAAGGCACAGACAAGGCTGTGTGACTACACTACTAGCAAAATGTCACCACTGTTGGAAACCTGGATAAGGACACAATTGGGAGTGTAAATCTCCTTGCTATGGTTCTGAATATGAGGGGAGTTGGCCTCCCTTTGGCTGCATCTAGGTCCTGGTGGCCGAGGCAGTTTGCCCTCATGTTGAACTGACTGCAAATGTTGTGCTGGAATGTGGAGATGTATCTCTATTCGGTTCAAGAGAAAGAAAGATCTCAAGCATATTTTCCCCAGTTTTTTGTATGGGCATTGGCCATCAGATTGTATTTTAATACTAGTACATGTCTTCCCAGATGAAGAGGTAGAAAGGCAGTTAGGGCACTGAAGATTGTTCAGTTCCAGCAAGCTGATACAGTGGTGGGTTTCAGTCTCTGATCTAGCATCCTGTCCTGCAAGACCTAGCTACTCCCTCCCCCATTAACAGTTATTAAGCTGACAACACTGGGGATTCCCCATAAGCACCCTAGCCTTCCATTTGTCATCCAGTGAAGCGAGTGTTTCATCTGAGACAAAATCTAGATTTGAGTATGTCTTTTGAAAGCTTTATCTTCTTAGCAAGGTAAAATAGGCCAGTGGAGAGGACAGGAGAACAGGCAAGCCCATAACATTCTATGCATTGCCACAATAATAAATTCTTAACTTTCCACCAGAAATCAAGCTCAAAATCTTTTCTTAGTCTTCCACCTCCAGACCAAGGAAAGACTTTACTTGCTTGAGTCAGTGTTGGGGGAGGGGGGGGTGAGAGAAAGGGATGGATATGCTCCTGTGAAAGAACTGGAAATTATTAGGTACAGAAATTGGAAAGAACTGCAGATCAGACAATGAGATAAACCAGAGATAGTGGAGCATCAGAGTGAGAACTATACGTTGTTATTGTTCCATAAACATGGAATGCAGAAACCAGGAGGTAATTTGTTTCACAGAAAAGGATATCTGGCAAACTAATTTGGAAGGATCAATCCACTGCAAAACGTTTACCACTACCAAAGGAGTTCAAAATATTTATGGACACAGAAAATGGTAGAATTAATGAACACCTTAAATATGACAAAGGATTTGTAGAATGCTGTACACATTAATGTCTTGTGTGCTGAAAGAAAAAGTTTATTGGAGCATTCAAGTACCATCTCACTAAAATTCTGTAAGCTTTGGAAGACTATCATGATCAATAATCAAAAACTCTTCCTTCAAAATACTGCAAAATTCTGTCCATGTTACAAAATGTTTCTCCTACTTGAAACAATAATAGGTAATTGAACGTTTTGGTAATGGTCCAATGTATTGCACAGCTATTTCTGCATCCCCAAGGAGGAGATGTGTTCTTGAGCTGCGGTCCCCCAGAGCACATAGCAAATCGCCTGTGAAACTAAGGAGAGTTTCAATGGTAACAGTGTTTGAAATTATTCCTATTACGACACTCAATCTTATTCTATCTACAATACTGACATAAATGGACCAATAATCTGACTCAGGATAAGGCAGCTTCCTTATAAAATAGGTAAAAATGGCAACCATAATCTTTGCTGATATTCTTTACTAAGGTCTGGTTATCTATAAATATGGCAGACTTCTTCTTTTACATGTCAGACTGACAGAGCTCAGAAGTCCATATAGCGTTCTTCTTTAAAGCATATTGCCAATTTGCTTTCTTCCCTTATAATGTATATACCACTGCAATCATCCTTTAGATAAATAATAACCTGCCTTGCAAAGAATAAAACATGCTCACGCTGTTTTAATCCTTGTCGTATACATCTTGTGAGACAATTGGTTTCCATGTAATAAGGTCTCCTATTACATGGTTGCTTCTTAAGTTTGTACAAACACAGTGCAATTTTTTTCCTGTCATGTACTCTCTTTTTTAGTAAAAGCTGGAGTCTTCATCAAGTGATAAGGCTTCCTCACATTTGTCATCAGGCTGGATGGTCACCTGTACTACTAATACATGGCTGAGCATATTGTGTGGGGACGGGGAAAGAAAAAAATTGTAATTTACCGTGAGAATTTTCAGTCTCAATGTTGCTGGGGTGTGGCAGTCCTTAGTCATGGGAAATGCCTCCTCTTGGTGACAGACGGGGTCACATGATAATTTTGGGTCACCTAGAGTAGGGTACCTCCCATTATTCCCCAGACTGAGCCTGGAAAATCACCCCTCCACTTTAACCTATGAAAATACTGAACATTTGCTCAAAGCTGGTGAGAGCTTCCCATCTAGAAATGAACAATATTCAGAGAGAAAATAGAAGGACAGAACAGAGAGGCATTCCAGTGGACTCCAACTAAGGAAAATATCAGCAACCTAGTTCTCTCTGTTGACAAAGGTGGAAAGAGACATTCAACCTACTTCTGCAAGCACTACCCTTCTCTTACAAGAGCAAGGTGGGCAGACTTCCCTTAGCACAGCAACACTGAGAATAAAAATTCATGATAAATTACAATTTTTTCCCCTTTCTCCAGTGTTGCTGGGGTAAGACAGGATCACTCAATTAGACACCACTTTCTGAAAGACTTGTCTGCCAAATACGTCTTCTGATAACAAGTATATATCAATTGC